ATTTAATTACTGGGAAAGAAACACTGACTTTGCTCTTGGCACTACAGCATTCTGTGGTGTACATCGGATCCAGTCCCGTGCCTGTTATTATCTACATTGATCACAAACCTTGCAAGCTTTTCACACTTGTAAAATAACAACCAGCAAGTCATGCAATGGGCTTTGATCATACAGGATTACAACTTAGAGAATGTGTGAGCGAGCTCTTACTCGCAGGATGCGGGGTTACTGAATGTATTGCATCTCTGAAAACGTGTTTTCTGGTTCATCCTCCAACGATGTTACATTAGTTAGTTTTAGTCTTAAGGGGCGGGGCGTTACCCTGCTCCTGGACTTGTGAAGTCTCTGAAATGTGACCCTTGATGCCACCCAAGCAGCTTCTCTGGCTGCATCCTGAGATATGACTGAAGCACTCCAATCAACAAAGATCACTTTTGTTTGCTTTTGTACTATATATGCATAGCCGGGCGATCACTTGCAACGGCTGTGATTTTATGTGTTTGCCTGGTTGATTCGTCTTTGATTCTCAGCTACCTTTTTGTGCAGACTAAACTCTGTCTGTGATACGGTGTGAGTTTTTGTATGGGCAAAAGACTCACTTTCAATACTGGGCCAGGTTTCCTCCATTGTAGTTTGCCTTTTTCTTCGATATCTCAACATTTCCACTGAGCAATAAATATCTCGCAATAGCAAAATTCTTCTGTTTGCATGCCGTTTCCCTCTTCCCTTGCAGCAACACTGTTATCAACATAACAGTACAGTGGTGGCGATGAGGCAGTGGGAAAATGCATGACTCTTGGAAAAGAAACCCCTTCAACGGAAAACACACGGCTGTGATAAGTATAGATAATATGTCGATGAAATATTTCCCTTACATGCTGTTATTTCCTGTGAGATCACATCTCTACCATCTATTATCATCTTGGTGTCACATGTAGTTTACTGTCAGAGTGCATCTGACTCTGGCTGTCGTGCCGTACTGTACGTAATACTGGAAGTGTGGCTTTTTTCTCCCCCCTTTTTTTTTTAACTGATTGTTAATTACTCAGCATCAGCTAGGTGTTTAAAATGTAAATGTTATGACAGTTTGTTGATTTCATATTTGAATCTTCCAAGCACATTAATTCAGAGTGCTGCCCAAATATTTGTGCATGTTAGACATATTTAATGGTGGAGGGCTAATCACATTCTGGAGCTTTGCACAATTTATATTTACCGTCATGTCATTCAGCTGATGCTCTCATCTGAGTTGTCTTAGCAAGAAATTGAAAGGTTCTGTGTCTTGCTCGAGGAAACGTTCACAGGATACAGGGCTGCTGGATATATCGGTTGCTGCATGGGATAAATCTCTGCACCTCTGTTATTCAATGTAACATCCCGCTGATCAGAATAAAGTACCCTCTCGGGCTATGGTATACTGTAATTAGATTTATTTTGGGCTCACATAAAATATAGTGGGCCCACAGAGGTCACCTCATAATGACAGCACTGATGCTTTGACAAGAGCTGTTAGGAAAATAAACAGGGCTACAGAAAAGGATATTAAATATAGCTGAGCTCATTTCTAATGAAAGAGACAGATGTTTCACTCCAGCTATCTCGCCTTGTTGAGCTTGTAAGCTGTACTGTACGTTTGTTGGTTGTCATCTGTTAGGTTGTCGCTGTAGGGTGTATTACACAGCATGTGCTTCTTTTACATTGGTCTCCTAAGAGGTTAGAAAACTTTTCCCAGCTTTGGTTGAATTTCTGGGCATTACATTGATAATTAATGTGAGTTACTGTTTCAGATCAAGTGGAGCAGAATTTACGTACAGAACACGGTGCACACCATATGCAGGGATAACAGAGCACAATAGTTTTTAAAACAGTTTTTGACAGGCTTCTCATTTCTAGTCAGTTGAAATGGTGACTGTCTGTAGTAGATGTTATCTGCTGTTGTGAGCGCCTAATTGAAAAAATGTGTAAACACCCTGGCGGACTTTTTAATATACAGGTGCCTTAAGTTACATCCATCCATTATCTATACACTGCTTAATCCTGATTAGGCTCATGGAGGGCTGGAGCCTTTCCCAGCTGACTTGGGGCGAAGGCCATACAGACAGACAACAACCCAGTCTCACGACAATTTGTGAAATAGTCACGAAACTTAATCTATTGATTCGGGTCCAGGGACACGAATTGCCAATTTTTTTCCTGTCCATGAATTTCAAGCCAATACATTTCAATTGGATTTATCTTTTGTGTCTGGGACACGTTTTTTCCCCCTATTAGACAGTGCATATGCTGTGATGTCTTTGTCGTTCTTTTTCAGGTCAATATCTCTGACCAAGAGCAACTTCAAACTTCCAGACTGACATAATCTTACTCCCCTGATCAAGTCCTTTCCAATGATGTATCATGTTAAGTCCTATGACAAAGTTTTAATTTTCACCCCTCTCATTTTATTAAGAAAAATCAATGAGTAACTAACAACAGAAGTTAGGCCTTGCTTGTACATATGGGTGTATGGCTCTTAGAGAGTGCTCATAACACAATAGTGTATTTATGGTAAATGAGAGGCCATGGAGTAACTACTATATACTGTATAGCCATATAGCCATACAGCCATATGACTGTTGTTAAAACACACGAATGAGTGTAACCCTGAAATTGTTTTCCTGAGATAAAGCAGCCGGTAAGGATGTCCTCAATGCTAGGGTTAGGATAGTATGAAACAGGATTTAACCAGGAAAAACATCTTTAATGAGGCCAAAAATGACACCCATGGGTTCCAGTAAGTCAAAACAAAGCTGTTATTTAAGAATTTACCCACGATACTTAACAAAGTTATTTAGTTTCATTTTGTCCAATTGAGCGTCACATGTCTCCTGGAAAACTACACCTGACCCAGGGCTGGGTCCAGACGGGTGAAAATTAAATTTCATCCTGGACGAACAAAACCCAATGGCATTATTTGTAAAGGAAACCCTATGAGGCAACACTTGGTTACTGGTTATTAGGCCATGCATGCACACTGTGTATCAATTCATTATGTGTTTTCTCTTTATATTTGAGTTTGGAGAGGGTGAACATTGAAACTACCATCCAGCCTCTTTATATCTCTATATTTATTTATAAGTATGGCTCTTACAACCAGCCACATGCACACCGCTTCAAAGAGACACACTGTAATGCATGTGAAATACTGCATTGTACATGTATTACAAAGCAGAGCAAAGGAATATTAATTTTAAAAGAGAACACAACAGGGCTCTGTGTTAACTAAAAAATCATCATGTTTACGGCACATGGAAGTAAAAACTTCTTTACTGCAACTAATTGAGTCTGTTTTGGCCTGAACATGTGATGAAGACAATAGTTTCATTTCTCTTCACAAAAGAGCAACCATTTGGGTGTCTGATGGCTCAGGCTTTGAGCAGACCTGTCTGACACACACATCAATGAGGTCGGTCTTCAGAGGCTAAGCACAGGCATAATAATTAATCTTCTTTGACATCATCATCCTCAGTGTCACCTAGCAACTGTCCACCTGCATTAACGAGACCACAATAGAGGCCTGTCATGGACTGTCTGCAGTGGGGCGCTCATTGGTTACAGTGGAAAAGCCTCCATGTTGGAACGGTGGAAATGTGGCAGAGACTGCAACTCATTTGATCAACCTGTTCTACTTGTGTGTGTGTGTGTGTGTGTGTGTGTAGACATATATATTCTGTTTTATATGTATACAAAAATGTGGATACATGTGGGTACATTGACCTCCATGAAACACGTGTACATATGTAAATTCATCGAGTCATATGTGTACATATTCATATGTAAATCCATTATGTCACATATATACATATCCACATATAAATTTATCATGCTTGGTATACTCATTTCAGGGGCACCTTTATTATATTTGCATTTTTTTTTTTAGCCTTATTGAACTTTTGTAATTCTTGTCCTGCTGCATTCATGCATTATCTGTATGTGTATATATATATAACATCCACATAAATTTTCCTGATCTCATTTTATGTGCTTCACATCTTTCCCATCTCCTTAACTCCCCTACCACTGCACACCAATTATAGTTAGTTAAAGGAAGGCAGGAAGAGGTGAGAAGGTTACAATCATTTATTTGTTTTCAGACGTGAGTTAGCAAATCCATCTTCTGGTGAGAAAATTAGTGAAGGCAGGAGTTAAATAAGTTTCATTAAATGTTGATAAGCTTGATTAGCTCTACCAATCACCTAACTAGATAAAGAGACAAACAATACCGACTTTTTCTGAAAACGTCCACACATTAAACGCACTAAAGTGTGTGGTCCCAGGGGCTGGTGTTTTCTGCCTCAGTTGTGGGCAAGAATAAACTCTTCAATGAAAAATACTACATTTTCAGCATCCACATTATAAACTGCTACTTTTCTCTGCCACACACACAGATTCACACCCATACAGATTTAAGTCTAACAGCAGTCATCTGCAGGAGTAAAAGAGAGACCAAGCTGCCACTCAGTCGACAACTGGAAATTGCAAATGGTAGTGTGTTCAGGTAAAAGACTGTGACTGAGTTCCTCAACGTGTTTACTCCTGGAAAATTGGGGAATAACAGGCTGTCATACGGTGACACATCAGCCTTTGTTAAAGAAATTACTTTGCTCTTCACCCAGCTCTCTGATGCTCGGCCTCCTGGACAAATTGTCCATTTGGCGAGTGCAGACTAAATGGAACTGCGTCTTCAGCATGTTGCTCTGCCGAAGCACAAAGAAACCGGGGCAGATAGGAATCCAATTATCCAAGGCAAATAATGGATGTCTCATTTAAGATGTGCGGCTGTTGCGACAGTAATGGCAGTGCCACAATTTTCCCGAAGCCAGTCTCTATCAACTGCATCATCTTCTGTTCAACGCTAACTCATCTACAGCCATACACTACAAGCTGTCAAGCATCACAGATCATAATAAATCTTTTGAAGGCACGGGAAACATGGTTTCAAAGATGGAGTATTTACTCACATGTAGCGTAGGTGTGGGTTCTGAGCAAACGCTCGAGCCTGGATCACCTTCAGGTTACAATTCATGATAGTTCTGCGAAGAAAAAATAGAAAACACATGAATCTGTGCAGAAATCACCAAAATAAAGACACATCTTTTCTTACCAGTGCAGTCACGAGCAAGCACATTCACACAGCGTCATACTGTGGTGATCGTGTGTATGCATCAAGGCCATTTTGAATTTTTCTTTCTTTTTTAACTTCCTTTTCTTGGTCCATTTAATGGTGCCTGCATCTCGACTATTCGTTTAGATTTTTTCTCCTTATTTTGGTGTGTTTAGATGCTTCAGAAGCTTTGCTTCATTTTCTATCGTTTTTTAGTTTAAAAATGTTTTGTCATTGGAGCAAAACAATACGGTGGTCTTGTTGTGAAAAAACTAATTACGCAGTACACTTTGTCTATTTCAAGACATTTTTCAGGTTTTTATCTGCTGCAGCAGTGCGGTGGAACAAGAATAGTTTGTATTTTGCAGTTCTTTCTGGTTTACCTTTTACCTGTGAGACTATGTGTGACAACATGGGTGAGACCTCTCATTTCTCCTCACCACTTTAGTCGTACCATTGTAGCGCATAGCATCCCACATTTGTTTGCGCTAAAATGTTACTTTCAGTTATCATTTTTAAAGTTACAGATTAAATGTGATTGAATTGTTTGTTCCTTTATTCTGACACACCATGCAGGACCGGTGTATGGGAGAGGGCTGGCCCAGCACATTCACCTTTTTGTACACAAGAAGTCTGCTGAGTCTGCCTGCCTACCACCTTCCTTGACCTTTTTGGCCACACTATTCTACAGTAAGCACACCCTGCAGAGGTGACAGCCACATTCACATTCAGTAAGAAGCACTATTTGATGAAAGATTTGTGAACTTGTGTGTCTTTACTGTAAAAGGAGAGAAACCCCTGATTACAGCATGCATTCCCTCATTGTGTCAGCTTTCATGCAGCGAAACAACTGTGAAATTAAAGCAATCCTCAATTTGCTGGGGACCCAATAAAATCCTCTCAAGGACCCCTGGAATTCCCAGCGCCCCAGTTTGGGAACCACTATTCTGGGCTACAATGGTAATGACTTCTAATCTTGTAATCACAGATGTCTCTTTCCAAAGAAGTCATTGACATCATCAGTGAGCGCCTCATAATGCAGCGAGCTGATTATACCCAGCTGTTGGTGCCAATTACCTTCCAGAAGTCTGATCATGCCGCTGTGGTGTTTGACTGGGATGCCACGTTTCATCACCCACAAGATCCCAAAGTGGGGCTCTCGGACCTCTAAGGGTCCTTGAGAGAGTTTTTTGGGGTTCCTTAGAAACCTTATAATGGATTCCCCAGAAAAAAAAATGAACAGAAGTAATTTTCTTCTAATTTCTCTCCCTTGAAATAAGCACAACAATGCACACAGATGACTGTGGAGCTTTGGTTATTATCCTCCCAGCAGTAATGACAACAATAATGTGAGTTATACTGAACACAATTATATCTGTAAACAGCAGTGATTTAATGTGTGCTGCATTTATTGTGAGGTCTTAAACAAGTTTTAAAGTTTTGGAAGCCAAACCAAGACACACTGGACTGAAGCAGTAGTTACAGAACAGGAATCATTTCTGTTTCCTAACCACACAAAGAAATAAATGAAAGGCAAAGGCACTTGACCAAAACATCTTATACTTGAAAGATGCTTTCCAACTCTTTCTATTTGATTTCTTCTTTAAATATTTTTTTCCTTAAAAAGAAGAGAGAAAAAAGAAGAAAGATCTATACAAACGACAAGATAGAAATCATCCTAAACATGAAGAGGCCTCAATTGTCAAATTGCAACAATGTAAAAAGAAAGGTGCAAAAGTCAGCAAAGACATTTGTACAATAGCAGTCCGAACTTATCAATTCAAAGATATTTCTTTATTTTTCTGTATTGTACTTCATGGAACAATACAGAACAAACCTGAATTATGTTGTTAGGAAAAAAAATGTATGAAGGTTTTTAGATTCCTCAAAGTTACCACGCATTGCGGTGTTATATTATAAACGGTTTCATGAGGTTACTACTTGGATTTTGAGTTAACATGTGAGTTCTGTCAAAAGTAAATGGGTGCAATTTCTTGTTCTTTTCATTTCACTTCTGAAACAACAGTCCATCATTACGTCAAGGTCAGCCAGTCTGAAAAATTTCAAGGACCTTGACTTTCTTTAAGTGCAGTTGTAAAAAGCAGGAGAAGTTCATTAGGGTTACCAGCCTCAAAATTGACAATCAGCAGCACATCAGATTAGTTCCCACTTTAGTGCTTTTCAGAGTTCAGCTAGCAGACACATCACAGCATCCGATATTGAAGGAGACTGTGTGAACCAGGCCTTCATGATGGAAGAAGGCGATAACCACTTGGGCCAAGAAACACAGAGAACACACATAAGGCCAGGTGAATTCTGGACTTTGGTTTAATGAGATCAAATTTGAGATTTCTGGTTGCAGCTCCTGTTTTTCTGAGATGCACAGAAGTTGAACGGATGGTATCTGCACGAGGCTGTGATGGTGGTAACCAACATGGCTACCCAGCAGCGTGCAGCAACACACCATCCCATCTGGTTTGTACTTAGTGGGACCATCACTGGTTTTTCAACAGTGCAAAGACCGAAACACACCTCCAGGGTCTGTAAAGGCTGTATGACCAAAAGTCAGATACCCCTTTTCCACCAAGAAGAACAAGGTGCCAGTTCCATGCTGGTGCTCGGGCCAGTGCTTAGTTGAATCCAATCTGGCACCTCCTAAGAACTGATTGCTTTTCCATCGGCAAGGAGCCAAGTTAGAGCCACGCCATACGTCTCTGCATATGTAGCCGTTTACCGAACAACGCTCGCACCACACGAAAGTCCACAGAGGACCCCAAACTAACTTTTGTACCGGCGCGACAAACTGTCTCAGTTGTCCGCACTTCCCACCTTGTCACAGGCAAAACATCTGACTTGCCGAACCTTTTCTTATCTATAGACTCTACAATTGACAATGTTCCCCAAATGCCCCACATAGCAGGCTGCAGTAGCTGCTGCTGGTGACTGCGGTGCACGTAGGTGCACTCCGTTTTTCATGAGAAGACCGCATTCCTAAGTGTAAATACAGAAGTTATAAAGGTAATGTTTTCTACCACTGTGGTGCCGCTGGTGGGACACAGGATTTCAGCACGCAACAGTTTGTGCAAAACTTCTGTATCCCCCTGGACTCAGTCCAATACATCTGTGTTCGGACCAGAGACGTCCTGGCGAAGAACTACATAAATCATCACTCATGTGTCCCATTCATTGGTCTCACGATAGTCTCGCCCCCAGCCCCTGACATACTCTGTGCTTAGCTCTGGCCCAGCAAAGAAGTGGTGCTTGCTAAGTACCAGTTTTGAGAGCCTGGAGCCAGTGCTTAGGCGGTGGAAACACAAAGAACTGGTGCCAAGTCAGGCACTAGCACAGAACTAGCACTGGAACCAGTTTGGTGGAAAAGGGGTAAGAGTGATGGAGTGCTGCATCAGATATCCTGACCTCCACAGTCACCAACCTAAACTCGACGAAGATGGTTTTCACATAAGTTTAACCACACAGTGAAGGGAAAGCTGTCAAAAAGTGTTGTGCATATTTGGGAACTCCTTGAAGACTGTTGGAAAAGCTTCATGTGACAACCTCATGAAGCTGGCTGGAGAAGGTGATGAGCTTGTAAAGCTGTCATCAAAACAAATTGTGGAAGCTTCAAAGAATCTGAAATGTAAAACATATTTCTTCTGAACACATAAATCAAAATGTGCTATTTCCTACTTTTGATGTCTTCAGAAATGCAAAAAAACAAAAACTAAATTAAAATAATGAAGATCTAGGTGTGATGAGGTATGTCTAAAAATTTGACCAGTACGGTGCACCAAAACAACAGGGATATGCGGTTATATTCCACAAATACAGATGGGTGACAAATATCTACAGCAAGTGGATGTGTTAGCTCTGTTATGGTGTGGGAGGCATGTTGTTGCTGTGGTTTGTCAATTTGCCCCCTAAGAGGGAAGAGTTACTGAAAATCAATATAAAATGTTTGAGTGATCTAAGTAATCCAGTGATGAATCACTTCTATCCTGAAGCAGTGGTCTCTTCCAGCTTCATATTGCTCCCATTCATAGGGCATCAGGGGTCACTGAATGGCTTAATGAATATGAAAATGATGTCAATCATATGCTGTGGCCTTTTTAGTCACCAGATCTCGACCCAACTGAACACCTATTTTACATTTTGGATTTAGATTTTGAACCAACGTATTAGACAGCCACCGCCATCATCTAAACACCAGATGAGGGAATATATTTTAAAAGAATGGTGTTTATCCCTCTTGTAGAGTTCAAGAAGATTAAAGAATTCATGCTAAGGAGTACTGAAGCTGTTCTGGTCCTTACTAAGACACTATGTTGGTTTTTTCCTCATTTTTGTCACTCACCTTGTGTGTATGTATGTTAAGATGCAATCCAAATGTGTATCCACCTATGGTTCAAAGTATTCCCAAACAAAAGTACTATTAACACTAAAATAATATTTCCTCAAGGCTATGTTGTACATCAGTTCTTTTAAGAAGTTACTAAAATTATCCAACATAAATTATAAGGTAGTATAATTATAAAGTGAATTAAGTCGATTGCATGACACTGCTGTACACTTATGCTAGAACAAATCTGCTTCCGTCAGATTGCTAAGGACAGCTGTGCAGTCTAAACATTAGGCTGCAGAGCTGCTCTCAGCACTCTAATGTTAGCATTTCAACTGCAAAGGTTTGCATGATCTTTCATAAATGAGAAGTGAACTTGAAAATATGAGCATCGAACCATTAGTAATAATATTGTATTTGGAGAAATGTGGGGATAATGTGTTGTGTTCCTTACAGAATGTAGCAGTGGCGAGGAATACAATCAGCTTGTTATTCTGCAGAGGTACAGTTATATAACATGTTTAATAAGTCAGTGTATTTTAATTAATCATTGCACTTTTTTTTTTTTTCATTTTATTCAAATAAAGATGGTGATGATGAGGTCAAATGTAAAATGAGGTGATGGAAGATATCCTAGAGTAACTTTTTTTTTTCCCCTCACTGCTCCCTCCAACACTGTTAACAGCCCCTCAAGGCAGCATCACAACAGCCCCTGCGAAGGCTCCACTCCAGTCGGGGAGGAGCGTGTGTCCCCAGACAAGGCAGCAGGAGAGAGGCAGTGGTAATGAGAAAAATGCTAATTTAGTGGTGGAGATATTGCACTTGGCCTCCCTGATGAGGGATCAAGGGGATCAGGGGAGAGGCCAGCTCTGACTTTGGAGGGCAAGGGAGAATACGGTTCTCTGCGGAGACTGGGGGGGGTAAAGAAAGTTAAGAGGAAGAGGAGGTCGGCAGGCGGCGGCAGAGAAGGGAGTGGAAGGGGCGAGGGAAATGTAAAGGATGTGGCCTCGCAGTGCATGGTTGCAAAGCAGCAAAAGAGCATAACATTGCTTTAAGAAGTGAAGACATGAGAATAAAAAAAAAAAAAATTACAACGCTACAGCAGGGACCCCTAATTCAATTTTCCCTGCTGCTTTTTAGCATTATTTGATCAGTGGCTAAGCAAAGCAAAGGGGATGTTCCACCAGCGTGTGACTGTCGAGAATTAAAAGCTTGTTTAAACATCAGCTTGTGTTAGGATCAGAATCACACCCTTCACTCTCTCTTCGCTTCGCACAGCCCGACTAACTCGCCCTCAGAGGAGTGTGGGACATTAAATCCAGATGCTGCTAACTTGTGTTCGGAGGTGAATTACCGCTCTTATCTCTAGGACAAAAACCATTGGCCTCTGTGCAGTAAGCAGGCAGGCAACCTGATTAACAGCGGTACTGCTGTCCTTTTCCAGATCTGCAACACAGCGGGACTGAAACGCAGCGAGTGAAGTGTCGTCCCCCATTCCCCCCGCCAGATAACAGCAGCAGCAACACTCACAGTCTCTGTAGTCCAGTGTAGAGCTCCATATCGACGTCTCTCAGAGTCTGCAATCCTGTCCAGTTCTCTATGTGTCTGCAAACAGAAAGAAAGAGAATAGCAAATGAGACATTCTTGTTCATCCGAGGAGAAAGGAAAACAAACCAGGAGACATGACAGGAGAAACCTCTTTTTTTTAAGTCCCAAGTTGCAAATTAACTGGCTGTGTGTTGTCAAAAGTTTTTGAATCCATATTCATTTAAACTGCAATTATTGGAACAGTTCTGACAGAGCGCTCTCTGCTGCCCTCTGATAGATTTAATTGCCAAGAGGCAGCTTCTGAAGCTTAATCTATGTGAGGGGAAGTGTGAGGGGGACAGAGCAAATAAACACTGCAGATGACTTTACTTCTGCTAATACTATCAGACTCCCAGGGAAAACTCTTTCTATGCGGCGGGATAAAAGAAGTGAAGCTGGGGCCTTTAAATTAGCTTCAGGAAAACGAGCATTTATAAATGATTTGTTTGTTTGATGGTTTGGAAATGAAATAGGCAACGCACATCGGGCACAGGGGTTTCAATTAAGTAGGGGAAATGAGGAGACGTAGCAGAGGACATGGCAAAGGCTTTATTACTTTGTTTTGGAGAAGGGAAAATATGATTAGAGGCTCATGGGAACTTTGTCCTAAATGTCAAATTTCAAATCAATGCTACCAAACAATCAGTGAGACACACATAGCGGTGTTCTCCATGGCAGGATGGAAGCTATCCTGACCTATATACCTGCACAGGGAAACACATCCCAATCCGCAAGCCAAGCCTTAGATTTTTTGCATTCTCGGTTCTGTGATCAGATAGCAGCTTGTATTTTATGACAACAGCAGGAAAATAACATTCATGATATTGGTTTTGGGAAAACTTGTGCAGCTGATGTACAATGATAAGGCAGCATCTGAGACTTTCTGTTTATTTGAGCCCTGCGCTCGGGGGCGCATCACCTGCTTTTTGTGGCGATGAGGAAACAGGTCTGCCAAATGTAACCAGCACTGTCAGAAACCCCACAGCGTACGACTTTATTGCTGGCTACTGGGCTGCCAGTTATTTTATGAAGGCTGCCAGGTGGGAGCAGTTAGCAGTACGAGAACACGACTGACGCAATTTCTGGATGTTTTTCCGGTAAATGAGTTTAAGCATTACGATTAAATACCAGTAATTCTGTCGGTAATGTGAGCTGAGGCAATCAATGCAAACAAAACTGGATTCGTGCAGGTGAGCTGCAAAGCTTTTCCATGTAGTGTCTTCACTTGAGATCAAACACGTCTGCTTTCACACCGGTGTACTGATGTACTGGCCCCCATTTGTTTGTGTCATCAACATCACCTGTTCTGCTGGTTTCCAGGAAACAACACTGGTGTCATTTTGCACCCATTCACATTTGTCATTTCAAGTGTCTCACATTCAAAGAAAAAAAATATCAGTGTCTGAATGGTCCTCATGGTCAGCTCTGTGGCACGAGGTGGTAATAATGCAACTTGTCATGCTGGCCTTTGGAAATAAACATAGTGGTAAACACTACGCACAGCAATATGGTAGCAACTTGTCAATCACAAGGAAACCCCACACCAATACATATATTTTTTTATCATCTTTTTTTTAATACTGTAAACCAGAGCATAATTTACAAACATCCTGCTGTATCGAAAAAGTCTTGAAACTAGCAATTGAGCCCATGAACTCATAAAGAAACTGTTAACTGAGGTAATAGATCAAGGAAGAAGTAATGTCCTTTTCTCAAAGACTTCTGAACGCTCACACTTCCTCTTGCAACCAGAAGTGTAGCCCCCTGCTGGCTGTTAGAAAGAATGCAGGTTTGAATACTCCGCTGGTCTAAAACTGCAAGAAGTATGTTGAAACATAGCAAAAGGCTGTTTCTGAAGCATAACTTGGGTGCCATCTTCAGACAAAGAATCCAGTTCTCTTTAATAAATCCATGACAATAATAGCTCTGCCATTCATAAACTAACATCACCATGTGGATGAATTGATTCTATGTACTATGATCTTCTTTTTCATGCTGCTTTCTCACTCACACAGATCATTCTGTAGTCACACCTATCAAGGATCAGGAAATAATCAAAGGGCTTGGAAGCACCTTCATTCAGCGTGCACAGTGTGTGTTGAAAATACTGGAGCCACTTTCTCCTGTCACTTTAACGAGACAAGGAGAACGATGGCCAGTTTCACTTTATTAATAAAGGCACTTACACATACCACTTACTGATGTGTACATACGCGTATAGAATCCAGATCCAATCGCCCTTTTTCAACACCTGGCTAGATTTCAATCTGTTTCAAATACCTGAATGCATTACAGTTAGCTTGTTAGATATCATGCAGGAGTGTTCCAGTGTAAATGGGGAGCTGAGCTATAAGAACAAAGGCGAAAACATCAATAGCCTGAAATAATGGGATTTGGGTGCCGTTCGGGGTGCTAATAAACCCGGCGTATGTTAGCAGCACTACATAGGCCTGCTCGTGCTGTAGACAAGTCACTTATTCACAGATACAATCATACAAACATTCACACTATCACTGCGGAGGCACTAAAAGCTGACCACTGTGAGAGCAAATGAAACGAAACCATGTGGCAGCTCTAACTGCTTCACACCGACAGAGTCACGCTGCTGATGTTGAGATTAGAGCTGAACTGGGGGCATCTGATTCTGAAGGCAGGGAGCTGAGTCATTAATGTGACCTGCAAGCAGAAAAGACGGATTCCCCTCGGGAGGCTTTGCTCGTCCACAGTACCGCTGTGTCGCCCCAGAGACAGACAGAGAGGGCAGGCTCAGAGGACGGTGAGTCCACACATGGGCCCTCATGTGCTAGAAGGTTGGGGCCCCCTTAGAAGACGAACTATGCTCAGTTGTTTTGTAGAAACTGAGAGCGCATAAAGCATATTTCAACATGTTTTTTGTTTTTAAAATGTAATAATAATGTAATTTGCATATCTGCTGATGTTCTACGGGCAAATTCATTATTAATAATTCAGGTTATGATTTGAATGTTTAATCATTTCGTCGTTGTTTATGAGCCCAATTGTTTTAGATGAACTGTACGTCTACTCAATGCAAAAACAGCCTCAATGCAACATTTTCAAATACAGCCAGTAAAATTAGCTGAACAGTTGGAATCGTTGAACATGAATCTCATTTTGGCTTTTGTTTACCCCTCTTTTGCTTAGATGACAGCAGCAGTCGGGCAGGATGGATTCCGCACATTTGTTCAAACAGAATAAGTCGTGTTTCAAAGAGCTTCTCATCATAACAGGAATGTTTGGCTTTCTCAGCCTCCGTAAATGTCCAGTGGGGTTGAGATCAGGTGAGTGTAGACGAAAGTCCACGACAGGCAGACTTTCTCGGTCTTCTTCGGTCTTTAAGATGCGTTTTGGTTCATTTTTCTACTTCAGTATAAATCCGTCTTCACATAGAAAGTAGAGCATGTTTCGGAAAAATTCTACTTGCTCAATGTGGAGCTGATTTGTTGCAGGTGTTGTTCCATTGTCAATCCACTGCAGTATCATCCTCTCTCCTCGTCATCTCCTTACATACATGAACTGAGATTTATCAGTACATAGAGGGTTTCTTTTGCTTGTTACCCCAAGAGTTTGACCTCGTTTCCCCTCCTGAGAAGTGTTTCAGACATGCTTTATGTCCTCTGAGATCATTACTACACAGGCTTCTTTTGACAGGACTTCTGCTGATTGAGTCTTGAATTCTTTATTTAGCAATTTCTGTATCTGTGACGAAGTTCTTTTGTTTTTCACAGTGAAGAAAAGTTCCAGTTTTTGAGAGGAAACCTTTAGTCTAGCCATTATTTGATGCTGAGAAGGCCCTTTTTTGGTTGGAATAATAACTCCACGCTGTCACTTAGTTCTGATGCCTGATTGTTTCCCACAATTACTATGCTACTAACATTCTGCAGGAAACTTGACGCACAGTCCTATAACAGGTAAACAACGGCTGCAGGATTATTTAGTTGAACAAGCCTCTGATGAGTCAATCAAATCCACTTGGGTATGATGTGTCTCAGTGGAAAGAGACAACTCAAGGAAATCCACCCTTTTGTGCAAGATCATTTATCTGCAACACTTAGACTTAGAAACAGTGCAAAATCTTAACTATTCATCATCTTATTACAGCCTTTTGTGTCTTTAAATGCAGCTAAACCCTCAAACTTTCTCATTTTTAGTTTCAATGTAATCACTTCTGAGGAGTGTCAGAGAATACAGCCAATAACATTCAAAAGTCAATAATTTTAATAAAAACTTGGAATGAAAAAAATAAAAAATAACTCTGATTAAATAGCTATAAAGATTTAGTGAAGAGTTTATTTAGAAAGTTTAGTGGATGAAAGACAATATTGTTGGCTTAGGCAAAAAAAAGAAAAGATAGAGATGATGAAAACTCTTGGCACCTGGCACCCTGCAGGACCACTGTTTAATGCCACTACTTTTTCTACTTGAGCTAACTCATCTTACCGACTGATGAACTAGCTTTAAAGGCCCTGTATGGGGAAAATCCATTTTCTCCATCTTTTCCAACTAGATACTCTCCCAGCTGTAAAAACTGTGCAGCTGTCAATCTAAAACGGTGGCAACTTTAAGCACATTTGAAACTAATAAACAGGGACTGGGTGGGTTACTGTTGTGCTTCATTGCAACCTAAACTCTGCTGGTTTTTACATCTTCCCTCCTGCTCTCTGTGCTCACATGTAGTGCATTTTAATACAGCCAAATTCCTAATAAAGCTGGTCTCATTTACATAGTTTGCTGCATTGTGGACAACACATTAGCCAGCGGTCACTCCGAAGCCAAATTTCCAGACTGCAGCAAAAATGCTGATTTACAGCTGTAACATTGTCAGACAAACTCTATGAATTCGGCCTTATTTTTGTGTAAAAACATCCATCCATCCATTATCTATAAACCACTTAATCCTCACTAGGGTCATGGGGGGCTGGAGTCTATCCGACGTAGGGTGAAGGCAGGGGACACCCTGGACAGGTCACCAGTCTATCACAGGGCTACACTTAGAGACA